CCCCAAAACCCCAAAACCCCAAAACCCCAGTTTGAAGAATTTTTATTGAAATTAAAATAGCAGAGTTCTAAATTATTGATAAATCAAAAGATAAGAGCCAAGAAGTATTGAAATTGGGATGAAAGGAATAAAGGCCATATTATAAGACAGTTTAGACGAAATAATAGTATTGCTCGGAAAGATTTAGTAAAATAATATTTATAAATTAGAAGAAAAGATGAGCCTCATCCAAAACATTTTATTGAAAACAAAGATAAACTTAACCATTCTATTTTGTATCATTAAAATCTGATCAATCACCTATAACGCTCCTCTCTTCCTCCCCACATTCTTCCTCATGACATCAACCTTAAACCCTTCCACCCCTGAAGGCCCTAGTGATTCACCTGCTTTACTATTCCTAATCTCTAGCTGAGATCCATCAAGTGTTCCTTCTAGTGAAGCCTTATCCAAGATCTTTGACATGTACATTGAACTCTTTGATAAATTTTTAGAAGGATCTCTACTCAAGAAAGGGGAAGGAAGTAAGGATTTCGAACCTGAAGCTGATAAAGAGAAGTCAGGACTCAGTGCCTGTCTGCCTCTCTTCAAGATTTGGCTTGCCTTGAAGGGAAGCTTTATTCTGTCAATTTTTAGATGTGATTTTGAATTGCTAGGGGTAATGTGGGTTATAAGAATTTAGAAAATTGAAATATATAGCACTTTTGTGTTGTTTAGAAGAGTATTCTTTGCTGAGAATTTGCAATTTGTTTCACATCAATAGAAATATATATTCAAATTTTATCAAATTTTAACTTTTCAGTTAACAATTCTCTTACTGTTTTAAATCTTCTAGCATACGAGATTTTATTTTGGGGATCTTATGCAGGTCTTTTTGTGAACAATTTGAAAATTTAGAGTATATGCTTTCTACCTGATTCAAATAACTAGCAGTATCATTAACATGCTCGTTATTAGGGATGTATACACTTTTTGCTAAGCTTGTCTTCAGAACTCCAATGAAAACCTGCAGAAATTGTTTAAACTGATTCTCAATAAGATGAATTTTGTTATCATTGTAATTTATATGATCCACATCTGCTTTATTTTTCATCTCATTTTCAAGGAGAGATTTATCAGCTTTCAAAAGTAATAACTTTGCTAATTCTTTTGAGTCAATAGGAGATCCTCCTATCTCACTAATAATTGATTTTTTGACAATTTTAGCAGTGTCTTCAAGCAAATCTAAGCAATTTAGCAAAAATACTACCTGTAAGTTCTCCACTGAGTTTGATATGAAGCTGATCAAGCTCTGCTTTCAGCTCGATGATCTTTCCATTAAACCCTTTTCATGATGCCTCAAAAACATTATTTGAAATCTCTAAATTTCTCTTTTTCTAGAAAGACTTCAATGTCTACAGCTTTAGGTGAGATCTTACCTTTATAAAGTTTTATAATTGTAAATTTAGAGGCTTTCTCACAGATAACTTCATCAAATCTTCGTATCATTGCTTTATTCTCAGTGCAGATTTGAATGCAATCACAGACTATTTTCTCACAAGATTTAACCTTAGGCCTGATCTCTTTTCTAAAATCAGCAAGATGTTGAAAACTACAATAATTAGAGAAGTTATCCCAAATTTTCTTGTTCTCTTGCTCAATATAAGAAGCATCTAGCTTATGAGATAGCTTCTCTTTGATGTCACTCTGGTCATCTTTGAGTTTACTGAGTTTCTTGGTCTGTTCATGGATCACCTTACGGTAATTTTCCAAAGAATCATCTATCATTTTAAATGTTTCACTAAAATCATCTTTCATAATGAACTTGTTTATTTGCTGCTCAAAGAAGCTCTTGGTCTCTTTTATTTGGCTCATGATATCTTCTGTCTTCAAGGATTCCTCTAGTTTGTACTTCATAGTCTGGATCTCATCCCTTGTAGCGTACATGGAGATAGTGCTGTACATCTTTTTGAACTCAGTCATCGGAGTCATCTTCCTAAGTCTATAAAATTAGATCGACTAATTACTGATCTCGAAGATTTGTGAATTCAGATAGATCTGTTTTAGACATTGCTAAGGCAAAAGCATCTCTGATTTCATTCTTTAGAGTGTTTAATTTATTTTTATGCAATGTTGATATCTCATCTATGTTATGAGCAGTGGAATTCATGTCTCTTCTCAACATTTCAACCTGGGTTTTAAGATCTAAAGGAATCAGTTACAAAAATACCGTAGAATTTTGAATCATTTATCGTGTGCTCTTTAATGTACTTAAATTCTTCTTTAGACACAGAGTATTCTTTGAATAAGCTACTGATTAAGTTGTGATTTACTAGAACAATTCATCATAAAGAGACTCTGGTGGAGCATTTTCGCTGTCAGACTCTTCGAGGGGGTTGTAGTTCTCAAATTTAGAATTTATATTCAACTGTAATTCGTCAACAAATTCCATCAGCTTTATATACTTTGGATTTTTAAAGAAGCTTTCTAAAGATTAATGCTAATAATATAACAATTTGAAATTGATGAAAAAATTATTGAAAATCCTAGCATAAAAACAGGTTTTCTAATTGATACTTATAGTGAAAATTTTAAATTTGAGTTTGTGGTAGTTTTGAAAGATGAGATATTGTAATTGCTACAAAAATTTAGCCTATTACATACTGGTTACTTAAAGTTAAGATGGGTCTTGATCGAATATATGATTAGATATTCAACCTCTCATACTCCCAATTCAAATCTTATAATCTTTTTCATGATTATTTATACTATCCAACATTAACTTCAATTTGGCACAATCCTCACAACGCATGCCTGGGAAGAGCTTATCAGAAGTATCACTTCTTCTCGGATTCCTAAAAGTAACCTCACCTCTTACCATCTTGCTTTGTTCCTGTTATTTCTTCGTAGTATAACTGACATCATTACGGTCAAGACTATGCTTAGCCTGAATACCTTACCTTTTAAATTGACTGCTCCTGAAGAGTTAGAGAGAACTTTACCTTAAGTTGTCTGTGTCATCTCGTTCTATTCGAAACGTGCCTGCTTTCATGTTCTTTTAAATTTATTTTTATAGGTATATTTATTCTTAAATTTGGGGTTTTGGGGTTTTGGGGTTTTGGGGTTTTGGG